GTGAAATCTTTTTCTTTTCCTAAAAGTCTTCTTCCTGTTGGACAAGCAACCCATTCCTAAGATCTCCCCTGAGGTCATTCATTCCTCCTGCTTCAAACTCACTCCCAGAGCTTTCCTGAGGCCACAATGGATCACTTGATTCCTGATGTGAAACAAAACAAAGTGTGTATGTGTTTTTGTAAGTATGTGAATAAACCCATGTCCCCTCTCCAAACCTCACAGCATGCAGGCATCTTTGCATCCAGTTGCTTCATAGATGGTACAGATGAGGATTTTAAGCCTCATGGTGTCTCCAAAGGGTTTGAAGCTTGGGGCTGCAATGGAGGAAGAGCTTTCTAGCTCTGCTCAGGGATGGGTCCGGACAACACTGGCCCATTAAGGCTGCCTTGGTGTATGTGGGAATTGAAATATTAGAATATCTGGGATGAGTTGCTGCAGAATACACAAGAGTCTGGTAAATGGATGCAGATGGAACCAAACAGAAGCAAGTCCAATGACAAAGGGCTAAAGAATTTTATTATCAACTCATGAGTTGAGCTTCGGAGAAAAAAAGACCAACCAAATTCACTGTAAATCCCAATGTTGAACAGAGACCTCCTTCTTCAGCAAAACTGACTGATAAACCACCACTTATGTGAAAAGTTTCAACAGTTCAAAAGAAGGATCTACTCTAAGGAATTAGAAGAATTGGTTCTCTACAAAACCAATTTACATGAAATTGAAGAAAAATTTTAAGCAGAATCTCTAGAGCTTTTTTTTTTTTTTTTTTAATTTGCAGTAGGACTTGAGGGAACAGTGCACAAAAGATCTCATTGTGGAAAACTGTTTTCATTTAAAATACAACCAGAGGGCTGGGAATTTAGCTCAGTGGTTCTGGTGCCTGCCTCGCAAGCACAAGGTCCTGAGTTCGATCCCCGGTACCAAAAACAAACAAACAAACAAACAAACAAAAAACTAAAATACAACCAGAGACTAATTTAAAGCTGTATGCTCCCTGACACACTGGTGGGTGCTGAAAATGAGCAGCAATAGCAGTGAGCATCAGGAAGGAGAGCCCACAGGTCATCGGTGGCTTCCCAATGGAAGGGGAGAGCTGCTGTTAAAGCTCTATCCCACCCATCCCCATGGATCTGAATCCAATCCAGGAGATGCAGAGCAGAGGGACATAGTATATAAGGGGTCCCTTCCACATCTCCTATAGGAAACCAAACTGTTCAACCAGTTGCAAGGAAGAGAGGGCAAGAGAGTGAGGCTGAGACACAAGAGAAGGGCAAGTGGGTGAGAAAATGATCAACCAATGAGGAAATGTGGACCTCATGTGGACGCTATTTCAAATATTTATAGGAAGACTGGAAATTTGAAACCTGGCTAGATGTTTTATTTTTTTGGTACTGGGGATCGAACTCAGGTCCTTGCACTTGTGCAGTAGGCGGTGAAACCACGGAGCTAAATCCCCAGCCCACTCTCTCCACTTTTGTGTAAGTTTGAAAATAACAAAGATACAGTATTTTAAAACTGTGCCAAAGACATGAGCAAGAGGTACAACTCTGCAAAGCTCAGTTGTTGATTTAGGTAATTGCTCAGGAAAGTCTCCCAAACACTTTAAGGAAATGGAGAGATTTTTAAAAATGAGTCAACCTGGGCCGGGGATTTAGCTGATTGGTTCCGTTTTAGCTGATTGGTTCAGTTGCCTGCCTTGTAAGCAGAAGGACCCGAGTTCGATCCCCAGTACCAAACAAACAAAATGAGTGAACCTAGGGGCCAGGGATTTAGCTCAGTGGTTCTGCCGCCTGCCTCACAAACGCAAGGTCCTGAGTTCGATCTCCTGTATCAAAAAAAAAAAAAAAAAAAAAAAAAGAGTGAACCTATATACAACAGAGACCCAAGAGATGCAGTTTTTTGCAGTGCTGGGGACTGAAGCCAGGGCCTTGCATATGCTAGGCAAGCACTCTACTACTAAGAGACATGCTCAGTTCACTCCCTACCTCAGAGAAAAAGAGGAACAACAGAATTTTAGAAGGAAGCATGACTAGAAACTCAAAGGAAAAGCAACACACTTACTACAGTGGACCCTTGACATACGAACTCAATTTGTTCCCAAGGGCTGGTTGTAACCCAAGTTGGTCAATTGAAGGCTCAGGCTCCTCTACACAGCCTTCAAAGTCTCTCTCCTGTATACAGGTAGATCTCGGTGTCCTTAGAGAGACATTGGCCCAGGATTTCTCAATCAACCCCACACAGGAAAGGATGTTGTAATATTCCTTCCAGAACTCTTTAAGGTTTTAAATCTGTATCTGAGACCATCTGGAAGCACAAACAGCCAACATGTGGGTCTTAACTCAAGACTCTGGTTGTAAGCAAAAACTAAAATCCCGGTCGTAACCCAAGTTGTTTGTATGTCAGGCCAGTTGTAACTTGAGGGTCCACTGTAACATTCTCGAGGAGGGTAGAGACAGCAAGAAAATGAAAGAATTAAGATGTGTCATGTACATGTACCAATTCCCCATGAGCAATAATATTAATAAAAAGCACATTCCCAACATTCCCATTGGACTCCTCTTTGACTGATAAACCATCTGTTAATACTTTACACATCCAGACACTCAGGAATTTTGACCTAATCTTGTGTAGTTAGGGAACATGTGCAGTGTAAGACCTAGTTTTAAAATACTTTGAGGCTTGCTTTAATGCTTGGAATAAAACCGGTGTTTAGGGACATTCCCAAACGCTGGCAGAGTGAGTACTTTCTACTCACACTGATGCAAAGTCCTAGTGCCATCTGCTCAGGCAGAAACCTTGCTGTTTCTGCCTTCCTGACCTAGTGCATGTGCAGTGTTGGGATCTTCGGACCTGTGTAGAGGACAGGTCAATTCCCTGAGTTCTGTCCATTTACACTGCATAGTTTGAGGCTACCTAATTTCATGTTCAGAGGTTACTCCTTGTAAATGGAACTTTTCTATCACTCCATCCTGAACTCTGCTACCCCAACATTTTCTGCCTTACTGTGTCTGAAGTAACATAATAGGTGGTCAGTACCTACCCAGTGTAATTTTTTGTGTGTGATGCTGGAGATCGAACCCAGGGCCTCATGCACTTAGCTACATCCACAGTCCTGCCCGGTGTAACTTTCTCTCCCAGTCTTTTACTTTCAATTTCGCAAGTCCTCATCTAAGCTAGTGCTTCTGTAAGTGGTGCTTCTCAACATATCTGTAGTGAACGATGTTATTTCTTGCTTTTCCTGATGTATCACAGCCTATGACTTCTGTAAAATATTTTAAAAATAAAATTCTGGAATTTACATACAAATAGAAGCTCAGATATCTTAGTATTAGATTCAAAGTTGCAGCCTCTAAGAATCACAAACATATTTTAACCAGTGCTGGAAACAGCACTTATCAGGTTTCTATTTTGTTATTTAGTCTGACAATCTTTTCACTGGCAGTTTGGTTCATCTGTAATCACTGGTACATTTGGGTGTTTCTAGCTAAGCCTCCTTTCTCCATCACCGTGTTGATATATATGGCACTGAGTTGGAAATGAGATTATTATGGATATCCCCCCCCCCTTTGGTTCCCACTTTAACAGTACTGAGAATTGAGTTCAGGGCCTTCACCCTGAGCTACATCCCCAGTCGTTTTTAGTTTTTAAGACAGGATCTCACTAAGTTGCCCAGGCAGGACTCAGACTTACATCCTCCTGCCTCAGCTACCCAAGTGTTGAGATTATGGGCATGTGGCACAACAGCCTATGAAGCTATTCATCACTCACGTGTATCTGTTATTTCCACATCTGAATTTGCTTCTCTTTATGTGTAGGGACTTCATCCAAAAGTATTTAAACATGAATTTAGACATAACATTCTAAATTCTTTCCCTTCAGTCCTTAAAAAGTCTAGCACCGCAGAGAAGGTTGCTACTGGAGAATCTGGTGTCTACTGGATCCCTAGATCAGTTTCTCTGGAAGCCTCGTGAATGCCTTTTGTTAATATGACACTTTATTCCCAGCAGTGAAAATCCATGAACACATCAGGGATGCTACCAACATGACAAGGGTCTCATGACACTGAGTGAAACGTGACAACACACACACTATCCTTTAATCCTGCCATACAGCATGCAAACTAAATGGAAGTGTCTAGGGGTGCAGACAGATGCAAATTTGAGAACACGGAAAAGATAAACCGAAGTTCAAGGTAGTGATTCTTTCTTGCCGAGGGCTGGACATGATTTAGGACCACCCAAGGTGGTCTGCATACAGCAGACAGGCGGCAGCCCAAATGTGGACAGCAATGAGTACTTTTTTCTTTATTGTTAAGAACTGGTATTTTCGCTCACATGTAACTTATTAATGGTCCATCCTGTGACAGACAGCCTGGAAGTGGCTCCTAAATCAGCATGCTGGGGCCAGCAGCAGCAGGCAGAGTTGCTGCACTGGTCACTCGTGTCCCAAAATGGCAAGAAACAAGGGATGGAGATGGAATGGGGATGTGCCAGGTTTGCTCTAAACTGACAAATGGAGGGCTAAGGATGTAGTTAAGTGGCAGAGCACTTACTCAGCATATTAGGCCCTGGGTTCAATCCCTTATACCACAAAAAGAAAAAAATCACCTAGCACCTGTGCATCCATCCTTCTATACCATCCCAGAGCCAGACTACCAACTGAATAGGGCCTTGTCACTCTCAGAAGCTGCTCCTGGCCCCTTTCTGCCACCTGCGACTGGGCCTCGAGATGGGTTTTTGCTATGATGATGGACTCCTAATTTCACCACCACCCCAATCCAGCATAAGCGCATCCACTCTGACCCCTCCGAGATGTCAGCGTCCCCATCTGCATTTCCCCAGGGCCCTGCTGCATTGCTGGTCCTCTGGGAGGACAGACTGCACATCCTCCGACTTTTCACTGAATTTCTTATTAGCCGAGTTCCTTCTCCTAGGTGATGACCTCTAATAAATTACAATGTTCTTAAGGATTGGCCAAAGGAAGAAGCATGTGAACAGCAAAACGGTGTCCAGGAGAGCTTTTATTTGTACAGAACAGTTTTAAAAATACAGAATAAAATAGCTTTATCTCTACTATTATTCACAACATCTGGCCCAAATATTACATATTTTTAAAATACTTAAACGTTTAATGAAGCCATGTTAGAAAAACAATATGAAAATTTTTTAAAAACTCCATAAAAGAATTACACATCTCAAAAAACAATCCCACCCCAAGTACCCTCTGTATGCAAAATAAAAATAAAAATAAAAACAAACAAAACCCAAGAAAGGTATATAGGCAAAGTCAGTCACAAAATGCAAGGAAAATAGAGGCATCTCCACTGTTTTAAGAACAGTAAGAAATTTATTAATGTGTCAGACAAAAGTTGTTAGGAACAAACTGAAAGGGTGTTTGTGGGGATGGTGAGTCGGATGGCAATGCCAGGGAGGGTGTCCCGCCTGCCTGGGACACACACAGCAACTCTACGGACGCTGGACATTGGGCAATGGGGAGGCACAGTCAACAACAACCTGAAGGATGGGAATGCTCGTGAGGCTGGTGAGAAGGGATCCCCAGTGCAAAGGAGCTTTAGGGACCTTGGGTGAAGGCTGATCGGATCGCTGGCAAACGTGGGCAGCCTTCTTGTACTCTTCAGTTCTGGCTGCAGGAGGAGTGGAGGGTGAGAGATGTCCTATTCTCTGAGACCAAATTGTAAGGGACAGAGGACAATACACAGCATGTGAACCCCCAGCAACAGGCAGTTCTGCCAGAACTAGGGCTCCATGGGGCTAAAGTGGTATGCGATGGGCAAGGTTGGCACCTGGCAGCAGGTGGGCAAACAGCCCCTCATCAAGCCATGCCAGACCTGGTGCCTGCAGCCGGGTCCACAGCCCAAGTACAGCCACCTCAGGATGCACCCTCTCCTCACACCAGCTCCTTACTCACCTTCTATGTGGCCAGGCCACTCCTGTGGCACAGGTATTACTGAAGATTAGACTTGTCAGCTTTGAATCTAAGTTGCTAGAATCAATATCTCAGCAGGGACATGAATGAAAGATGTAACAGCTTAGCTCATGGTCATAAAATAGATGCATGGGTAAATAAAGTATACACACATACTAGAGATTCATCAATGGAGAAATTCTATCAGCACATGACATTGTCATGAAAATTATATCATTCCCTCCCTGGAAAACTGTGACTTATCCTGGGCAGAAATGTTATTTTATTATATGGAAAATACTGCAATATTCATGCATAAATCAAGTTGTCATCATGAAAGTCAGTGTTCTACAGTATAAAGCAAATCCTGTGTGTGATTTTGTTACCTTAAAAATGGGAAACCATCAGGACCCAGGATGCTTCATTCTAGCTGGCCTGGGAAAGCATTTCTCTTCAGGCCCAACAAACTGAAAGTTAACACTGGAAACCCTCACAGATTCTGACAATAAACATATCCACGAATCCACACTAACTCCGTGATGAGAATGAACATCACAAGAACTGAGCTGTGTCCCCTAGCGCAAACCCAGCAGTCTCTCCCACAGGCTTCCTGTACTTTCCGCTTTCTAGGGCCAACAGGAAAGCTCTCCTCCTGGGACCAGGTGGGTGAAGGTGGTGGGCAGGTGGGCACTGTGAAAGTCAGACACAGCATGCCCTGTCTAGAATATGATGCTTTATTGGAAAACAGCTCGCAGGACAGCACCAGGCCTGAGAAGTGTGGGCCACCTGCCCTCCAAACCTAACCCTTTGGGTGTGTGTGGCAGCTTGAACATAGGAATACATGTTCTTTTGCTTCCAGGTACAGACTTTCATTCCGAAGCACGTTTGCTAGCAGGAGTATTTCCTAAAATGGCTTGTCTGTGATTTGCTAGTGATCAGGGGACTCCAAATCACTCAAGGCTATTCAGAAAGTACAAGACTCACTGGGGGCATCTTGTCAGGTTGCTCTTTCCCTCTTGCCTCCCTTTCCTTCCCCCTCCTCAGACAGAATATCAAAAGTTGGTCCCAATGGAACAAGAAGGGTGGAAACCTGTCTCCACTGGCATGTGAGTGCAGGACTTCCTTCCTCGGCAGAATGCTTGCTGGAAATCCCTTGTCTACTGGAGTTGAGGCCTCATGATAAAATTGGCCCGAAGAGGAGTCCTCATGGAGAGGGACTGCGGACACCCGAGGCTGCACTTTGGGGGCCTTGTGGGGAGGGAAGGTGTCCTCTCAAGTTGAGCTGAAGGGAACTTGGGCCTGAATTAACAATGATTTTGGTGCTTGTATTTGGACACTTGCTCCTGCTCACTTTAGAAAGCTAGAATTCTTCAAATTTCTGGGACATTTAACAGTGTTCCCCATTTTTCAGAGCAGAGAGATTGGAGATGCTGAGCAAACTACAAAGCAAAGGAACACAGAGCAACACAGGGCAGGAGAGTGGTCAGTATCAGGCTGGGGACCGGGAACCAGTATGCTCCTAAAGTCATTACCCGCTGAATATACATCTCGGAAATAAAAAAATTAAATGCAATTTGGAATCTAACATCTTTACTTAGTCTGCAGTAAGATTTTGGCAAAGCAATGCGGTGGCTCTGAAGTATTCTTGAAGCCCAAAACTTCTTGGAGTCAAGGGAGCTGCAGTGGTGCAGCCACAGACCTGGCAATGTGAAATGCCAAGGTGGGCTGGGCATGGGGCACAGGAGATGCACTGGGTGGATAAGAGGCTGAGAGCCAGCCCTGCTGGGAGACAGGGGTTCCCAAGGCCATCCAAAGCTCAGGCCGGTCAGCCACCAGAGAAGAAGCCTGGCCCCAGGAAGCACAGTCACTACTTCATGTCTCAGGCTTTCCCTTTGGCTGAAAAACTTCAAATTCAATAGAAGCCACTTTGTCAAAAATAATTTAGTGTCATAAATTAGAGCTCCTCATAGAGGGAGGCTGCTAGCTGCTTTTCTCACCATCTTCTACAACAAGTCACTCAAACAAGGCAGCACATGGCTAAGGGAACTCACCTTCCTTCTGCCAAATCAAGATCCAGCGGACGTGCAACATGACAATGCTCAGAAAGTCTCCCTAAGCCAGGGCAGCTGGAAATGATTGGCAGCAGAAGAATGGGAGAAACGACTTTGTCAGGAGGGTGGACCATTCAATATGGTGGCTCTGTTTGGTTACCTATTCCAGCTTCCCTTCTTCACAAAACAAATTCACGTGTAACTTGACCCAGGGTTCCTGGGCTCTGGTCCAGTAGTCAGTTCTGATAAATAGATTAGGCATTACAGTATTTACACTTTCATGGTATCAGGCAATACAAAACACAACCACAACAATGGTTACTGGCCTTCAACAGCCATTAGAACAAGCTTCCCTGATGGTATCCACAGCTTTACAAATGCTGGTACTTTTCTTAATGGGGGTAGAGGTTGTGGGACAAGTAATAGGGATGGAAGGGAAGAGGGTCACATGGAAAACACTGATTTGGAAAATCTGCTATAGTCAATAACATTAAATAGGAATAAAATCTTGTAATTGTAGATGCGCACAACAGTCACATCCACATGACAGCAGAGCTAGGACTCATAAGCTTATATGGCCAGTGCCTTGAGTGGCACTCTGTACCTGTCACACCAGCCAGGAGCGATAAATGCCCAATAAGGTGTCTCGGCCATTACAAGGCCCAGAATGAAATGTGCTGGCTTGGTAGAGGCCAGAGCAGCAGGGGAAAGAGCAGTCAAGAATCCTGTTAGCGTTGGGGTCCTCTCCCTTCCCTTTCAACCCCCTAAATAGGCTCCACTTTATACTACAGACCTGCACATGCCCTATCAGGGCCCGGGGCAGCCAGGCCACTGTTCCTAGGCTAGTTAACAGCCTCCTGGGGACTATCAGGGACAACAGAATCACTTGACAGGCAGTTGTGACGATGTGAGGATACTGGTGGCCCAGGAGCAGGCTAAGGTCAAGCGAAGAGAAAGTGGGTCCAGGGGCTTTCTGTCTCGAGACAAACACTAGCACTGGGCAGCGGGAAGGGACTAGAAACAAGGGAATCGCTGATGATTCCGGGAACCTGCTCCCACAGGAGGGCTGGAATTTCAAGTTCAGTGACCATGGCCAGCAATGGACACTCAAAGGGCAAGAGGTCAAGGGCTTAAATAAGGAGCCAGGTGAGACACCGTATTAGACACAATCACCACCTACGACAGAAAAGCAATGTGCAACAACCTGTCTTAGCTCTGGGGCGCAGGATGTAGATGCAGATATACAAACATATATTTGACTTCTTGTTACTTGGCAAGGAACTACTGGTGCATGCCTCACTGTGGCCAGGCCACAGGGCACAGCTAAGGCTATACCGTGGCCTGCGAGTCTTCATCTGAATTCCGACTGTTTTTGCTCTTCCCAAAGCCTTTCCATGTGTAGCCTACAAAGGTTGGGCTGATGGGCAGGTAGCTGAAGCATCTGTATTTTTTGATAATGTTCATGCCGAATGGCAAGTTGTAGGATTCCATGCCATCAAGCGACTTGTTCCCTTTGCTCACGCCCTTCTTCCATTTCCTGATTCCTCTTTCCTCTGGGGTACCTGATACATACAAGCGCACATGCACACACGCGCACACACACACACACACACACACACACACACACACGACATAACAAAATAAAGGAATGCTTAGTTTAACAGTTCTATCAGGAATGAGGCTGCTGTAACCAAGCTCAGCCCCATCTACATGACAGCAAAGAAGACCTGAGAAGCTGAGGGTCTCAGGTCTCCAGGTACTCAACCAGAAGTCCAAGAATCACTAAGCTGTTCTTGTCCCTCTTGTTCCACATCCATGTGGCCTCCTGAGGGCTTTCTGTCCTCCTATCCTTCCCCATGGCCCACATTTTCAGTGCTTGCTGCCGAGGTCCAGCCTAGGCACCTTACTACTTTCCGGGGTCACTGTGTCAGACTCCCAAGTGCTCATCCAGGCTTCCATCTCACCACCCCCTTCCAAAACTGCTGTCAAATACTGTGCAAAAAATATCTCCCTAAAATGAAAATGTGAGTTTGCAAAATAGGCCGAGTGTTTGTTACACCTACAAAGCCTTCATCAATCAGTCACTGCATTCCACTCGCTGCTTTGCTCCATTTTAGTGGGCGGTGGGGAGGCACTGGCTTGTTCTTGAAAGCTTTCTTGAGATTTTTTTCCCCCATAAGACAACCTACTACAAAATGCCTCAACTGAGAGGCTACTTGGGAACCCAGGGTTACACACCTGGCAGAAGGATCCCCACCCCCTTCCCTAAAGGCAGCACAATGGTACCCAGCCACTGTCTCCAGGAAGCTGGGAAACCTCCAAGCTGGGTCACATCCCCACCTAGGCCATCACCCAGGGCTTGGCATGGAACCATCAACCGGGGTTATGGGTGATGCAGGGCCAGCCTCTACACACCTCATCCTTGGTCCTGGCCTTGGTCATCTCAGCTTTTGACCACTGTCCTCTAGTTGCAGTTGGCTGCAAGGTCACCTTAGGAATTATCCATCTAAAGGACAGAGTCCCAGGGAAAAGTGCTGGAGCCTGTTAGCAGCAGCTTAGGAATGCATGACAAGGGCCGGGGATGTAGCTCAGTGGCACCACACCTGCCTGGCAAGCAACAGGTCTTGAGTTCTATTCCCAGTAAGGGGGCATAAAAGGAATGCATGACAAGTCCTGAGAACTACACTGCAGGTTCTGGGCTGAAGTGAGAAGGGGGCAGGAGCCTAGGGTGGGCCTGAGGGATCCCACTGCCATCACACTACACACAGGTCTCCTGCTGTCTCTTAATGCCATTCCCAGATAACCAGCCTATTAACAAAAAACAATTCATAAGTGGAGTGTCATCTCAACCACTTTAGAAGAGCTTCTACCAGTGATGGCTTTGAACTCTTTCCTCCTCCTCTCTGCCCCTCTCTCTTCCCTGCTCTCTCTCACTCCCTGCCTGTCTGAGACGGAGGTCTCACTATGTTGCCTAGACTAGTTTGAACTCCTGGGCTTAAGAGATCCTCCTGCCTTAACCTCCCAAGTAGCTGGGACTACAGGCATGCACAATCAGGCCTAGCTTTTGCTTCCCATTTTTCGTTCAATGAAAACATACACATGTAGTAAGTACCACATACCTGGGATGGTGTTGTCCAAAATAAAAGCCACACAGCCTCCTACAAACATAGCAGTTGTGAGAAGAACATTTAAGACTTGATCAATTCCTGTTATGCCTAGAAACAGAACAGAGATCACGGGTGTCATTGCTGTAGCCAGTATGGGCCTTGAGTTAGAATGGGCAGTGGGGTGGGTGCAACTCTGCCAATCAATGTAGAAGGTGAAAATGTAAACTGCATGTGTAGATAAATTACTGCCAGAAATGTTTTAAACTACTATGAATGCTTCCAACAATAACCCAAAGCATCTCCATAAGGACAATTCCTAACAGTGGTTAGGTGAACCTAATAAAAGTGACATTCATTCTACAATGAACTGTATAGTCACTTGAGTGCTGTCTGTAGACAGAGGTATTTTTAAATAAAATATGACCATTGTAAGGCTGAAAAAATTACACACTGGCTCAGACAAAAGTATTTGTGTATCTGTAAACAAACAAGTGTTTCCAGTATCGTAGGCTCCTAATCAGCACAGCTGCTCTCAACCAGGAGCAACTGACTTACGAAAATGTCCTCCTTTGAATGGGATGGATTGAAATGTAAAAAGCAGCAAGAACCTCCTTGTTATTAGAAGTTCATGTGCTTTCAGAACTTAAAATAAGTGCTCGCCTGGTGTACACAAAGCCCTCGGTTCAATCTTCACCCTGCTGCCCCCAAAACTGCTGTTTTGTGTCCCTAGTAAAGGATGGCTAGGTGCAAGTCAGGGAGTTCACCAGCCCTAGTCACAGCCTGCTGGCCAATTTCCCAGGACCAGTGGTTCAGTATTTGCAAATTTTGTCTGAGGCAACTCTGTAGCACTTAACAATCATGAATAATGGGAACTGAATTACAGCATGCCCATACTCACAACAGCCAAAACACAGAACAACCCACATGCTCATGAGTGGATAAATGAACAGATCATGGTACATATATTCAACAGAATATTATTTAGTCATTAAAAAAGGATGAAGCTTTGGGGCCGGGAATTTAGCTCAGTGGCACCGTGCCTGCCTCGCAAGCACAAGGTCCTGAGTTTGATCCCTGGCACAAAAAAAAAAAAAAAAAGGATGAAGCTCTTAAACATGCTATGACATGAATTTTTTTTTTTTTTAAGACAGGTCTTGCTATGTAGTTCAGGCTAGCCTTGAATTCAGTATGTAGCCCAGGCTGGCCTCAAACTCAAGGCAATCCACCTGCCTCTGCCTCCCAAGTGCTGAGATTACACATGTGCACCACCACGCCCAGCTAACATGGATGAATCTTGAAACTATTATGCTGAGCAAAAGACAACAGATATAAAAGGTCATATATTGCATGATTCCATTTATATGTATAGAATAGGTAAAGCAGGATGACAGAAAGCAGATTGATAGATAATAAGAGCTAGGGGAATGGGATAATATAGATTTACTGCTTATGAAATAGAGTTTCATTTCAGAATGATGACATGTTATGGAAACTGGATGGGGTAGTTTAACATTACAAAGGTAGTAAATACCTTCAAAAAGGTTAATTTTAATGTGAACTCCTAAAAATCATATATAAATATATGTAAAAAATGATCCTCAATAATTGTGCAAGTGCTAAAATAATTAACAGTAGCCACAGTTTTCTATTTATTTAGTGGCACTAGGTGTGTGCCACCACGCCCAACTATTTCTTAAAATAGCCGTTCAATCTTCATGACAATGGGATATGAACATAACAAGTAGGAGTTAAGAAAGTTAATCTGGAATTGAAAATAGCTACGATGTAGTAAAAATCATGTATTTCAGACATGTGTGGTGGTGTACACTTGTAATCCCGGCACTCTGGGAGGCTGATATAGGAGGATCCCGAGTTTGACTGCAGCCTGAGCAACTCAGCAAGACCTTGTTTAAAAAATTTCTAAAGATGGCTGGGATGCAGCTCAGTGCAAAGGCTCTGGGTTTAATCTCCAGTTCTGGAGAAAAAAAAGAAAGAAAACGAAAATATTAAGTATTTCCAAATATATGAAGTTTTAAGAAATCACACATCTTAGCTGGCCTTGGTAGCTTATGCCTGTAATGCCAGCACTCGGGAGGCTGAGACAAGAGCATTGCCACAAGTTTCAGGCCAGCCTGGTCTCCACAGTGAGTTCAAGGCCAGTCTGCACTACATAGCAAGATCCTGTCTCAAAAAACAGAAACCAAACCAAACCAACCCACAAACAAACAAAACCCCCAAGATATCACAAATCTCAGTAGGCATAGTCTGAGAAAGGGATTTTAGAGAGGTAGTCTGCCGGGGTGAAGGAGACCTCAGCTTCCACGTCAGTTATGTTTTGGCTACGTGCAAGACCAAGGCCTTCCAGGGAGACTGCTACAAAGTGTGACTTGAAGAGACACAGATGAAGGTGCACAACATGCTGCCCAAGGAGATTCCATGCCTCTTCTCCTTACCTGTGACCAGAGGGTTCTGTCTGAGGTAACTTGGAAGGACGAGCCCAAAGAAGATGGAAAATCCAAGCACAAAAAGGTTCCGGGAGGAATTCAAGTCAATGAATTGCAGGTTGGACAGGCCAACAGCAGTGATCATTCCTGCAGGAGAAACACCAGACTTGGGTCCCACTGAGCTCCCTGAAGCACAGTGACAGGGTGCAGCACTAGGACACAGACACCCTGGTGTCCTGTCGGAAATGAGCTGGGAGCCCAGGGATGTGGCAGAAAGCAGGCGGGCACAGGGGTGGAGCATGTGGCTGGTCCACACCTTGCATAAGCATCGTACCAGTCTCCATTACACCAGCACAGGACAAAGGATGCAGGCCTCTCCTTGTGAAATTCTGCTTGAATTGGGAACTCACCCAAATATCTGATACATGTCCCCAATTACTATAACTAAATGCTGCAGCCATCAAATCCAGAGTCCCACTGTAGAAACGGTTAGTTTTAAATGGCCTATTCATAGGGGAAGGTAACTGAATTAGACCAATTAGAAATTCCAATTAAACTAGATTTAATCTTAATTTTCATACTGCTGGATCTACCTTTAATATAAATTCAACTGAAAAAATACTGTAGGTCATTATTTTTTGAAGATTTAACTTTGTTTTATTTTATTTATTTATTTATTTTTTTGGTACCAGGGATCGAACTTGGGTCCTTCTGCTTGTGAGGCAGGCGGCAGAACCACTGAGCTAAATCCCTGGCCCTAACTTTGTTTTAAAACAGAAATTTACTTCAATTTTACTGAAGGGAGTCAACAAAGACCCCAGGAGCCCTGTTAAGAATTAGCAATGTTGGGGCAGGATTTACCTCAGGGGATTTGCCTGGCAATCACAAGGTCCTAAATTGGATCCCTGGTTCAAAACAAGAATTAGCAATGTGAAGAGGAATGGGAAAAAAATAAGAACCAAGACATATCACGTACAGGTACAAATTCCCAATAATGAATGTGATCATAATGTATACCTAAATGTACCAATAAACTTAATGAATTAAAAAAAAGAATTAGCAATGTGAGGAAAGGTACCGGAGAGGGAAGCTGTCCCTCCCAAGGAGGTGGGACATTACCGAAGAGAGTGCAGAAGAGGGCTCCAAGCACCGGGTCCGGCAGGGACGCGAAGAGGGCACTAAACTTGCCAATCATGCCCAGGCCAAGCATGAGGGCGGCACCGTACTGGATCACCCGGCGGCTGCCCACCTGCGGACACATGAGAGGGTGGACATGGCTCACCTGCCATCCTCCAGCAGCACCCACTGCCAGCCTGGGCTCTTAGGGCAAACATGACTGTCCTCAGGCAGAACTTAGATTAGTCCCTCAACCCTCAGAGAACAGTGACTGCTCTCAACATGCGATTACTGCAAGCTGCTGAGAAGACCTGCCAAGGAGCAGTTCCTCCACAGCTTCAGCTCTGTTTTGTGGGTGGGTAGGTAGCCCCAGGGGTTAGGGAGAGAAGCCTTTGCTTCTCTGGGCCCTGGATGGAGTCACTGGCTGGGTCAGGCATATACTCTGTTCCTGCTTCTCTGCTGGGTCCTTCATACCACCCTTCACTAAAACAACTCACCAGGAGCACATCAGCCTCATCTCCACCTTCCCTGCCCCCTCCACCCCGGCCCATCAGATAAACACCCCCACCCCACGTTTCTGGAACTACCTTCTCTTCATGCATGGTGTCCTGCCCAAGAGAGGTGGTGTGAATTAGGGCCCAGAGTGCAGAACCAGTCCACCTCTGACCACATGACTGGACAGATAACCTCTCTGGCTCTCAGGATCCTCACCTATCATGCAGAAGCCTCGTGGTTTTGCTTAAAGGAGTGACACAGTGTGCCTGAAGAAGTCTGACTGGTGCCTGGCCAGCACTGGGCCTTCCTCCAACCACTGTCCCTAACACCATCACAAGTAACCTTTCTTTTCTTTTTTTGGTACTGGGGATCGAACTCGGATCCTTGCGCTTGTGTAGCAGGTGGTGAAACCACTGAGCTAAATCCCCAGCCACAAGTAACTTTTCTAACATTGATTTGGGTGGGTGGGTGGGGTCAGTTCTTGGCTTAAATCCTCTGGTGCTTAGAAAATCAACTCCCTAGCTCCAGCTCTCCCCAACAAGCCACACCTGCCGGTGCATTTCTTCACCTGTGTCTGAGTCACAGGGGTGCTGGGGCTTACCTCCTGTTAACCCTGACCTCTCTCTTCTAAGGTTCCCTCTCCCCTACTAGCACCCAGGTAAAGAGGTAAAGCTGATCTGACTTGAGGACCTGGCACTGTTGGGTCCTGTTCTTTGGTGCCTCCCATGGGCTAAACCCTGAGGGTATAGGATAGTCAAAGAAATGTTGGTGGGTGGATGGTAGTGGTGGTGTTCAGGACCTTAGGTATGACTTCTAATGAGAAGATGGCTACTTAAATTGAAATGAGACAAAATTTAAAATTAGTTCCTCCTTTGCTGGCGGCTTAGTATTCTTGCTGCACTGTTGCAGAGTTCTGGACAGTGCTGCTCTACTAGACCCAAAAGCTTCTCTAAGGAGCAAGCTAGGGAAGGATCAGAGCCCTGCCTTTACTGTATAGATGGAGAAATACCTGTCTAGCTGGACCCATCCCGATCCAGCCCCTCTCTATACCAAACAGGGCGGCCAAGCAGTGGAGATCACATCAATGGATGAACTGAGCGAAAACGACTTATGCTTGGCTGCAATTACACAGTAAAGAAGCCTTTCATCTACAGATGGATCATTTCTCAGCAAACATTTGAGAGGCTACTATGTGACCAGTACGTGTTAGACTGGAGACAGGCAAATACAAAGATAAGTAAGTCCCAAGCCTGGGGTCAAGCAACTGTACTGTTCTGCTGAGTGGGAGCCCAGCAGCAGGGAGGAATCTGAGCTGGGGAGGATTGCTGGAGTGGGTCACAGGGTTGAGAGTTCATGGGAGGGGCGCTGCCAGCAGAGAGAACAGCCTGCACAGCTGAGACTCTGGCAGGTTGGGCAGCCCCGCCAGGTAGGAGGTGGGAGGGACTGGACTGGCCTTAGGGAGGCCTGCAATGCTACAGCTTATGTGGAGACAGGTCTGCCTTTGCCACTAGCCACTCTTCTGCTCAATGACACTACGTGAGGGCCTAGCTCCGCTTTCTGTTAAACAGCAGTGGCATAGCCCTCCTGGTGCTCACACAGGCCTTCTGTGTCTCCTCCCATCCTCCCACTCCCTGTAGCCTTGTCTGCATCTCCTCTTGACCTCCTTCCTAAACTATCATGGCTCTGCCTCTAGAACCACTGGAGAATCGACCCTTCGTTGCTGACTTCCCAAGTCTTCAACAGCGTGGAATGCAGAAAAGAGAAATGATCTCCCCTGGATAACATCCCAGATATTATAGGGAGACTCCCTTGAAATAAACCAAGGGTCAACCAGCTCCCATAATACCTACAGCTTACCATGCAGCTGCTGCATCTGAGAAGCTAAGTGCTTTACACTAAGTAATTGACAACTCACAAGCCACCTTTATGGACTACAGCCTGGGGACCAGAAAGATGACATAACTTGCCCATGGCCACATCAAGATAAAGTGACAGAGGCAGGGCTGGAACCCAAAGCAATCACCATCCCATCATGTTGTGCTGGCCTCTCTGGAGGGCACATGTTGGAACACACTTAGCAGAGGAGTCAGGGTAGGTGGCTTCATCTCTGGATTTGACAGGCCAGTAATTTCCTGGGCAGAATGCAATGGGTAGATCCAGAGCTGCCAGGCAATGAGGCAGATCCTATGGGAGAGACACAGACGGCTCTCCTTTAATGTGCCCTGGGAGTTTGGTTCAATGGCCCTGAGCAATGCTGACCCCCAGAACTCTCTTCGACAATGGAAAAAGTCCTTCCCCGTGTTGTCCATTGGCAGCCTAAGCCACATGGACCACTGAGCCTGGAAATGGGGCTGGTCTCACCGGGAAGTGAATTTTTAACTTATTCCAACTTCACAGTTTTGTGTGTCCTAGACAGCACAGTTCTAGATCTGCCACAGGGGACTTCAGAGCAGGTTTTGTTCAGAGAAGTGGCTTGTCCAAGTCTCTTGGCTGAATAAGGGGCAGAACACAGTGCAGAGTGCCTGCCTGTTTTCTCCTTGACAGAGTCTTCCCAGAGCCCATAGGACCTGGCTGCACAGACAATTCTGCAGCAAGTCCCATGCCCTGCTCCAAGGCAGACATGCATGGGCGAGACCCTTGCTCTCCTGGATCAAGTCTTGTGATGGAAACTTGATTCCAGGCCTGACACTCTGCCCTGGACTGAACACTACCTGTACCTGGGGAAGCAGCTTCAATGGCTGGGTTCAAAGGGATGTGGGGCAACATCAATTAGCTCATTTAGCTGGCATGCCAGGTACAGTAGCGCACACCTGTGACCCCTGGACTCAGGAAGCTGAGGCAAGAGGATCACCATGAGCTTGAAGCCAGCCTCCACTACATGGCTGAGTTCAAGGCCAGACTGAAGTACATAGTGAGACCCTGTCTCTTGAAAAAAGTGCTACCAGGTCATCTTTTCAGAACAAGTGGAAGCCATTAAAATTTTCATAAAGATAATTATTCCCCAAACCACTTCAGTCGTGTTGTGGACAGGTACTTTGTTTATTCCCCAGTGAGCTTTGGCTAAATTAAAAGGGTACTGCTGGGGATTTAGCTCAGTGGTTCCGCCACCTGCTGTGCAAGTGCAAGGTCCCAAGTTCAATCCCTGGTACCAAAAAAAAAAAGGGGGGTACAGAAGGGAAAGGGCTTATTAAATAAAATTTCCAAGAGTACCCCCCCATGTCTACAATTTTATGACTATTTTATCTGGGCACCCCATTGTATGCCAATGGGTCAGGGCAGCAAACTGGCTCAAGAGTGGCTCATGCCCCATTCTGTGCCTTCAACATCTCTTTTTACTGCAGGCAGTGACAGGACCACAGGGATGGTGCTGGAGGATGTGGCCACCAGATGGCCCTCCCTCCCTCCCATGCCATGCACTGGGAGCAACAGGTGGCAGATGGGGCCATTGGCACACATGAGGCTGAGCCCTGGGCAGGCCTGGCAACTCAGGGGAGCCCAACATGTCAGGCATGCAGCCTGGTACACTGCTTCCTCTCACCTAGATTTATAATTGAGATGAACCAATCTTAGTATTTGGTTTCTTTTTATCTGATAGAATCTTATGTGGAGCTGGGGGAAGGATTCTTTGGAAATCCTCCCCATCCTCACCTAATCTTATAGAGGTCAAACAGGGTTGGAAGGCTTGCAGGCTCACCCTCAAGTTCTCAGGTGAGAAGACCTGTGATTCACTCAGGTAATCAAAGATGAGGAACCAGTTCTACAGTCTCTGCTTATACAACCTTCAGTGGCCATGGGTCAAGCCACATTCCTCAACATCCTGGCAGACAGCACTCTCTGGCCTAAGGCTACTGGGATACAATTACTCGCCAGTAATAAAGTTGAAAGGCTAAGGTTCTTATGGAAGCTGATTTAGGGGTGGAGCAGCCCCAGGTTTACAAGTCTGTGTCTGGGTGGAGTGGGGAATGGGGTGGGGCAAGCAGGGACAGTGCAGACCCAAGCCCTGCTCAACCTGACACCTTGAGAGGACTCACATCAGATTTCACTGGAAGGAGTATTCTGCCTCAGAGGTTGGAAAACTGCACCACTCCTTTAATATGAGGCAGCCTTTTCGTCCTGAGGGGAATCATCTCTCCTTTAGAACTCCAAACTCTTCTCAACTGCCTCTTGTTCTACTCTCACCACCACCGTTAAAGTGACCCTTAAACATCAGATCAAGCTGCTCCCTGCAGCACCCACTTCCACGTAGTCTCTGGCCTCCAACAAGGCCCATGTGACCTGCTTCTGGGTTACGTGCAGCCCTTGATGTTCCTACTTTCTTCCCTGTCTGCCCCACTGGCTTCCTTGCTGACCTCCTTGCCCAAGTCAGGGTCTCCGATGGCCATGACCCTGCCCCGATGTTCTTTGCCTGTTATCAGCAGCTCCTTCTCTCTAACCTTTTAGTGAGGGCTGGCCTGACCATTTAACACTTAACCCACCCCTGGCTCCCCATCACCCGACCCCATGTTTCTACCATCCTCACCCCTGGCTGGCACTGCCATTTGCTGACTTGCTATGCTGATTGTTGAGTGCCATTCCTCCTGGAATGCAAGCTCCCACTTTTCACTGATGTATCCCCCCAACTACATTACACTGAGCTTGGCACAGGTGGGCGCTCAATAAGCATTTGCAGCTGCATAAAGGAAATATAGCACCTGAGTGCCACCCTACCCAGGCTGGCCAAGGAAGGGAAGGCTTCCAAAAGGCATCTCAAAAACTCATCAAAGGGAAAAAAGGAATGGGAAGAAGATGATCTCAGAATTCCTGCTGGAACTCACAGAGGTCAGACCAGTCAGTGAATGGATAAACATTTAGTGGCCCAACCATGTAATTAGAAAAATATCTGTACCTTTGTAATTCCCAAAACTCCAATGTTGGGACTGGATGAAGTAGAGCCATTCCCAGTACCAAATATGCCATCGAGAACACAGGAGAGACCCTCCACGAAGATCCCCCTAAAATGTAAAGGAATGGGGCAAAGAGAAACATTTGTCCAATGGGGAAAACACTGAAATAGGCTTTAAATGTTTGCAACCCACAAATGTGATCCACAGACCTGTAGCTTCTGCATGTCCTGGGGGAGGGGGAAGAAATGTAGAATCTCAGCCCCACACTGCACCTGCTGAAGCCCACTCTGTGTTCCAACAGGATCCCTCTTGCTCATCAATTTTAAGAAGCCCCTCTCTAAATCCCACATTAGAAACAAATTCTCTGAAACAATTTCAAATGAAACAAAGGACTTTGGCTACACAATAGAGCCATTTGCTGACATGAGCTGTCAGGTGAAGTTAAAACATACTGATTTGATTCTTTACAATTAAAGTTCAAGTTCATCAGGAAGCAAGTGTTTTATAACCTTATAAACACTGAAACTTTTAAAAGTATGAGTCATTTCACTATATGCAACAGCTCCATTTGAAAAACATGTGAAAACCAAAAATGAAAATACCCAGACAGAACCCCTGCGAGTCATGCTAAGAACCAGCCCACTGATCCATCCCAAGCAATCCCTTTTGGAGCAGCAGTTGACAGCTGGGAACTGGGGCTGATCTGGGCTATTCTTTTTCTTCTGAAGGCTTCTTGGATCAATTTTCTATGGACTTCTAGAAACTAAAGATCAACAGTTTTGAGGGCATAAACCTCACAGCTCATAAACCTCAAGATCCTGCAAATCTCATCTCTTCTTGCTCTCCCTGTCCCAAGGTTCTAGGACTTGTAACTGAATAGATTACACAGAACGTGCCCTTAGAAGAGCTAGAGTGCACCTGACACTGCTGGAATAGGTACTGTCTGCTGCTAAGGTTTCTATTATGGTTGCAAGTAAAGTGTATCCATCTACCTTCTGTATTTCAAGTGTGGCAGTCAGGATGGAACAGGGCACTCAGAATTTTCGCAACTCAGAAACAATGAAGCGTCTGTTTTACTCCACAGAGTCTAAAATTTGAGTTTATATGGAGAAGCGAGAACAGTTGGGAAAAAAAGAAAATCAAAGCACACATACATCAAAATGACACAAGACCAATCAAAGAAAAAGGGCAATTCTTAGCATTTGTTTTGGTGAGTTTCAGGTTTAAAGTAGACTCATGGAGGCTTGCTTGTCACTGAGGAGAGGAAGGAAAGTCTCTCCTGATGCAGATGAGGAAAATGAGAGCAAATGAGGGCAATGACTTGGCCCAAGACGGCCAGCAGCCCCACTGCTTGGCTGTGGAAACTCTTGGTTTTTCCAGGGAGGCTGTCTATAAACTAAGCCAATGCGCTGGACAAGGCATGAGCCTGCTCAGACCGTACCTGTTTATTGCATGGATGGGAGGTGGCGGGGCACAGGAGAGCCTGGCACAGGCGTAGTAGTCACCGATGGACTCAATGATGCTGGCCACAACGGCACTGAGCATGCCGATGACGCCGGCTGCAGAGACGGTGGGCAGCCCCCACTGAACTGAGGATGGAAGACAACAGTGAGAGGTGTGTGCTTTCCTGGGGATCTGGCAAAAGTTACCAGGACCTCAGGGAACTCTGCAAGGCCACTTGGATTCTAAACTCATGGAAAATGTTTTAAATCGTAATCATTAATGCACCAGATGCCCAGGGAAGTCAGGTCCCATTGGTCTCCTCTATTGTCTTTATTTAAAAAGACATCCCTTGCCAGGCATGGTGGTGCATACCTATAATTCCAGCATTTGGGGGGCTGAGGCAAGAGGATTGCTGTGAGCTCAAGACCAGCCTGAACTCACAGCCTGAACATAGCAAGACCGTCTCAATAAAAAAGACATCCCTTCATGGGAAGAGGAACATGCTTCTCTTCTTGCTTGGAAGTCACACTCAGTATCTGCTAAATTGTGATTTAATCCACTCTGCTGTTGTGGTGGAGAAATTTGCATGAGTAGGATTTATGGCACTGCTTCAAAGAGCAGAAGTTGAGAGTAAACTTTGCCTACAGGCTGGCAGCAAATGAAAAAGGGGTGAAAAGTCACGAGCTGAACGGACATCTCAACAGTGAAGTGTGCACAAAATGCTTCTATTAAACCACAAGCCATGTCATAGAAAGGTAATTGTTCTATTTTAGAAAGCAAAGGAAAGTCCCATTGTAGTTTCATTTTGATTATCTGGATTTACTTAATTTTTCATCAACTTATTTTTTTCCTTAAAAAATACCTATCACTATTTTTTGGGGGTACCGGGGATCGAACTCGGGACCTTGCGTTTGCAAGGCAGGCGTTGGAACCACCGAGCTAAATCCTAGCCTCTACCTATCACTATTAGTATAAATACAATGAAGTCACTGGCCCTAGATCCTTGAACCAGCAGGCATAAATAATACACCTGCTGAGGATAAAGTGGGCAAAGTGAGATGGATAAAACACAGTAAGGCCAGCTCTGTGGCCCAGGGCCCAGAGAGGCTCAGGCACAGTGTGATGGTTCAAGCTCAAATGAACCAGCCAAGTGTAAGTGAGGAAGTCACAGTTCCCACCCAGGGAAGGAAATGAGAGGGAGATGTGAATGGAGGTGCCCCTTGAAGGATGGGGAATTGTGGAGCACAGGAATGTGATGGTGCTCAGCAGAGGGGGACATGCAGGGCACAGAAGGGGTCAAAAAGCCACCTAGAGGATCTGGCATTTGTGTTGCAGGTACCTGGAGGCAACCATAGGCTTGGGAAGTGACCTGAAATGTTCAGAACAAGTCTGCAGTGGGAGGGTGAATTGTTCTCACTCTGGCCTGCCCTGCCTGTGGGAGCAGTCAGAAGTAGCTGGGGTCCAAGGGCAAAGTGCAGTCACCATGCAGGGTGCGGCAGAGGTGGACAATGCCCACCATCCACAGGCTAGGCCAATACTTCCTCCTGGGGTTGCTTTAGGGCCTTTATCAAGTTGCACTTTGGGTTTTTATATACTGTGATGGGTTGCTGTTGTGGCACTATAATTTCATGTTAGTGTCTTGATTTTGAAGGGAGATTCTTACTTTATTTTGCGTTACGGAGAATATATCTAATGCAAAAACCCAAAACACACCCCCTCCCCAGTATAAGGGCTAAAACCAGGGGCTACTGAGCTACATCCCACCGTTTTTTAAAAAAAAAAAAAAAATTTGAGACAGTGTCTTGCTAAGTTGCCCAGGCTGGCCTCAAACTTGCAATCCTCCTGCCTCAGCTTCTGGGTAACTAGGATTATAAGACTCTGCCAACAAGCCTGGCTCAAATCTGATACTTTTTGAGCATCACCTTGATACCACACAAGAGGAAAATTCCACATCTCACCCCTGTGTGATAGACTGCAGTCAAAACCCAGGTGGACTTTTTAGTCCACTGTGTTTTTACACAGTGTGTTGGGCTGGGGATTTAGTTCAGTGGTTTTGCCACCTGCTACACAAGCACAAGGACCCGAGTTCGATCCCTGGTACCAAAAAATAAAAATAAAAAATAAAAACACAGTGTGAAAATTACCTTCCAGTGATTGTGTATAAGGTATACAAGAAACATAAATGAAATGAACTGTGTGTGTAGCCAGTTACATCCTATCTCCAAAATATTTCATTTATGTATGTGCAAATATCCCAAAATTAAAAAACAAACAAACAAATAAAAAGGTCTTAAGTCCAAAACACTGTTGGTCCCAAGCTTTTCTGGAATAGGGGAAAACTATTTTTCAAAGTGCTTTCTATTTTCTTAGCCTCTTTACACTTATTGCTTTATTATTTTCCCCCTTTTTACCTGAAGTCCTTAAATCTGGTTGCTAAAATCTTTATTCCATCCATGTCAACATTTAAACTTGCACTCTCCTCCTCTGCTCTCTTCGTCCTTTCTCTCCTTCTAGCCTTCTGTCTTAAAGCAGTTACTTTATCTCTCCTTATAATTTGTTTTGTTACCTTATAGCAGATTGTTTTCAACTTTGGCACTATTGACATTTTGGATCAGAAATCTGTATACTAACATCAATCCAGGTAATTCTTATCATATCAGAGGCTGAGAACCACGGCTCTTGATAAACCTGCCTCCAGATTGATCCAAATCACAGTGAGCACACACTAGACTACCAGATAAATCCAGCCCCACGTTCCTGTGGGTGCTCACCTTGGCAGCCGCCTGCACCAGGTGCTGAGGAGCCACCGGCCCCCATTCCTGCGTCATCTCCTGACTGCCTCACCAAGAGATTTTAATCTCATTTCATCTCGGATTAGGGGATGCCTGTGAACCAGGTGCATTCTTTTTGGGAAATGGGATAGGTGTATATAAATACACACTTAGGCCCCATGTGATCTGATGAGAATGTTATTTTAGAAAGACTAAACTTTGTAAAGCTTCTGTGAATGTAGCAAGAACAGGAGAGGTGCCAGCACTGTCACTGTTCAACATGTGTGGAGGAGTCAGCTCTGACTCCTTAATATATCTGGCTTTTCTTGCTTTATCACCATGTCATTATAAAATATGAAAACAAGACAACTCGACAGGGGAATAAATTGAATCAACTTGACTAAGTGTAGGCTTGTACTCTAACAAAAATCCCAAATTCTGGGGATAGCGTCTTTCAACAGAACAAGCCAACATGTAACAATCGCTGAGCTCATGTGAGTTACTTTTGGGGTCTGGGAAGATACTGTGGATGACTCCAGGTGATACCTAGGGACCGACCATATTTTCTGCCCCTTGCCATCACCCAACACTTGAATTATAACTTAAGATTCATCTTCCAGCTGACTGTATCAGTTTACCTCTGCAGCTGTGACCAAATTAAGAAGATTAGACCCACCCATTAAAAGATTATGTACATTCCATCATGCTTGAGCAGTTTGCTTGCTAATCTCCAGGCCCTGCCCACTTGGCCTTCTCATTTTGGCAGCTCTAATAGCAAGCAGCTCCATACCTGCCCTTCTCAGCAGCTGCCCTCAAATGCTGGCCACCAGGGATAAAGCCTGGCCAAGATCCCTAAGAGCCAAATTGTTAATCTGAGAAGAGAGCTGGCTGGTCTCCCTGTGCTGACTGCCCACAGGGGACAAGGCCATCCAATCCTCAAGTGGCCAGCCCCTCAGGAGACATTCTGGGACAAAGGCTTTTCAGGACATAGAGCCTTCTGCCTGCTTCTGACCCCTCCAAGTTGGGGCTGCAGGCTCCTAGCCCCTCTGGCCACAAGGATACTTACATGGGTATGGAACCTTAAACCAGGGGGCAACCAGCAGCACACCCTGCCTGGCATCTGTGCGCGCATAGAAGCCATACTTGGTGCTGTCAGGAGGGAAGACATCAGTCACTGTGAAGATGAAGCAGAGCAGCCAGGACACAAGGATGGCCAGGATTATCTGGGGAGGTCAAGGGGAGAGGCTCTGTCAGGCCTGCAGAGCTGGGGGGTGGGGGAGGAGACTGGCCAAACACACCCTTCCTTCAGTGTGACCATCACACCCAGAACCCAGACCATCAGAACTGCAGACCCACTCTGTGAGCAGCACTGTGCCGAGAGCACTTTCACACAGTTCCATTCACTTTATCCTTCCAAAGTAAATTAGAATGGACATCACGTCAAATCTTAGTCCCAAGAGTAGCGTCCTTTTTTGGCACTGCTAGAAGAATGACTCCCATTATGGAATTAGAACCTTGTGCAGCTTCTAAACTTTAGGGTGACTGTTGTGGTCACAAGCACCCAGACGGTCTGCTCTAGAGGGTGAGTTTACATCCTTCCCTCTTTACCTAAGCATCCTACACATGCAACAATGGCAATATTGTCAGGGGAAAAAGTCGACTACTCACAGGGAACATTTTGAAAAGCTGTAACTTGTACGCAGTCCATCCCTTCTTAGATTTGTAAATCGGGAGAGGAAATTTAACATTTCTGGCATATTGAGAAAACAGTAACACTAGGAAAATTGTCCTGAGGAGAGAAAGAAAATAAATGAGGTTAAATAATGTCATGTCTATGTTTCTTTGTTTTGTTTGTGGTACTGAGGATTGAACCCAGGGCCTCCATGCTGAGCTATATCCCTAGCACCATTTTTTTGTTTAATTTTTTTTTTTTTTTTGTACTGGGGATCAAACTTGAGACCTTGCACTTGCAAGGCAGACACTGGAACCACTGAGCTAAATCCTTTGCCTTGTTTGTTTTCATTTTGAAACAGGGTTGGTCTTGCTAAGTTGCTAACCTGCTCAGTTGGGCTAGAACTTTTCGATCTTCCTGCCTCAGTTTCCCTGAGTGCTAGGATTAAAGGTGTGCACCACCATGCTTGGCTTTTATCTGTGTTTCCAAATAACAAAGCTTCAATGTCATAAGTGATGATGTGTGTTCATTCATTTAGATAGACTGTTGCTAGTCCTCTTCCCTATGATCTGGAATCATCTTTTGGCACCACCATTTGGGAGCAATGCTTTACCTCATTGCCTAGCATTTCTTGATACTGATGTTAATACTCAGGCTAAATTTTCCTACCTAGAATAAGAAAACCCAACAAATATATACAAAAGCTCACACTGTGTAACAGGGGGAAAGGTCAGATACAACATAGCGTACAACTATGAGTTGAGAAACCCCGGCTTGCACACATACACACATGTCAACACGAGGACCAGAAGGGTGTGATCCAAAATGGTCATATGAGCTTTGGACAATATGATTTGTGACTCATTTTTTCTGCTTTTCTATATTTTCGGATTTATTTACAATAAGCACAAATTATTTTTTAAAAGCAAAAAATCAAAGCTTCAATATTTAAGAGACCTGCACACAGCAGGATTGAGTATTAAGAGGCTTCTGTGTGCCTAACACTACACTAAGGCCAACTGTACAGGGCAGCGTCTAGGATGATCCTCTTTTTTATAGAAACACAAAGTCAGTGGTCCAAGATTACACTAGGCTGGAAATTGGTGGGGCCAGTCTATAGCCTGAGCCCCTGAACTACTGTCACATGGGACAAAGAAACAGAGAAGCCTGGGTGGGTTGCAGAAGTCCCTTGTCCCTGAGCCTCACAGCTCTGACTGAGCTGTACTAAGTGCTACACAGGAGGCAGTGACAGGTGGTGACCTCCTTGTAGCAGGCTGGAACCTTACTCATCAAGCGTGATGCCCCATGTGGCTGACAAGTGGGGGCTACTTCTGGGTGGATTTCATCACCAAGACAATACAGACACATAACAACATGCTAATCACCTAAGGAAGTAGCTAATCCTCCACTTGGCCTCATTCTGCACTTATAACACGGGGTAGGGCTGGCAAGAAGAGTGGGTGCTCAAAGCTAAGCTAATTACTCTTGGCCCCAGTTCCAACTGCTGAGATGGAATTATCAGCTCCATCAGCAGCTGGGCAAAATGTGCTCCAAAAGACACGCATCCTTGTCACATCCTAATGAGGTGCAGATCAAAGCTCAGCTGGAGGACAAGTGTGCCACTCCCTGTGGCTTCCTGACTGCCTGGAGGCTCTGGTGAACCGATGACCCACAGAGGCCTCCCACAGCACCAGCTCAAGCTGGAAAACACAAAGATGCCCACGTTAGTTCTACTCTTCTGGGGCAGTGAGTTTAACAACAATCTGACAATGAGGGATATTACAACTGGCATTCAACCTTTAACTACATAACATTTTCATGTTTTAAAAAATGCTGTGTATTTAAAAGTGGATACTATGAAATCCAATAAAGCCCAAGTCTGCCACTGTTATTATTTCAGGCAATGCCCACTTGCACTGTGGTGTTCACTTTTCAAAACACATCTAAGAAGGGACAGGGGACACACATGGAATTTAGAAAGGACACTCAGATCTCAGGTGCATGTGGCAACTCAAATTAATACAGCAGATTGGGTAGATGAACACTTTTCTTCTCACTCTCACTCTAAAAGCATCTACTTTGAGATTATTTTTATCCTCAAATGCACCAAGAGGGCCGAGAGGGCAGGAATCCCCACAGCAGAAACTGTGAGACAAAATAAATCCTTCCTCTTTATGTTGCAGGTGTCAGGTATTTTTTCCCAGCAATGGAAAGGTGACTAAAACAGCAATTTCTACAGCTTGGTCCAGCACTCTCACTCCTCACAGAGTTGGTGTGGATAAAACATATTCCAATAACTGGAGAGGATAAACCTCGTACACACTGATGAGCTACTCATATCTCCTTTTGTGCTTTGCAGCTGCTTCTATTATATTCTTTGTCCAAGATTCCACTGGGATTCTCTCTTTTACACTCTATGAATTACAGACATTAACTTTTCTTATGAAACTTGTGGCAAGCATTTACCTAGACTCATTTAGTTTCAGTGTTTTTGATGCATTTTAAATGCAGCAGTAGTAAAATCTATTAATCTTCCATTTCAGTATCTACTTAAGATCTTTCCCACTTTAAGATTAAATATTTATGTAGGTTTTCTTCTAGTACTGTTATAGTGTACTACACAAGTATTTAATTCAACTAAAATGTAATTTAATATGAAAACAGGAAAATAACTTTTTAAGCGACTAATTTTTCCACATAATTCTTCCATTCCCTACATGTTTTAAATATGGCTACCATCTTATACTAAATATATTTTTCAAAATGTCACCACAACCAGACATAGTGACAAAGGCCTGAAATCCCAGCACTAGGGAGGCTGAGGCAGGATTGCAGCGAGTTCAAAACAAGCCTGAGCTACACAGTGAGTCGAGGGCCAGCCTGAATTGCACAGTGAGACCCTGTCCCCAAACAAAACAAAACAAAACAAAACAAAACAAAACAAAACAAAACAAAACAAAATAATAAACTGGGGAAGCCCAAGATCAGGCAGAGTCAAGCAGAGGACAGAGAAACCTGGCTGAAGATCTGGTCAAAGAGAGAGTTCCTGAATTACTGGAGTGATGCTGGCTGATTTCCAGAAGTGAGGAGAAGCAGAATGCCAGGAATTAGAAAGGAACTGACAGGAAAATTAGAAGCTACAGAGAAGTTGGAGAAAAGGTCCACAATGCCAAGAAAAGAAGGAAACAATATAGACTCTCTCCCAGGCTCTTGGCTCTTTGGAGCCAAGGAAAGCACTCAGGGCTGGGAGATCCAGGAAGAAACAGGAGCAGAGCCCACAGCTGTTGTGAACTGCTAAAGCAGTGCTGGGTTTTGCTCCAAGGGGACTCTTTCCACATAGTGGCAACAGCCAAAGAGGGACTTCACTGCAGGCGCCCACCATATCATCAGAGAGTGCTTGATCAGGTGCCATTTAAAGAAGGGGTTAATATTTAAACCTAGGAGTAAGAACAACTAAAAACCAACTTCACTTCAGGGCTTCCAGGGTTGTCCTCCCACAGTGACTGGGTAAGAGACAGCCACAGAAGACAACTGCAGACAGGAAGCGGGCTAGAGAGAGATCCTCTGAGAAGTTCAAACTCAGACAGGAAGGACAAAGTCCCCATACCCCACAGCAAGAAGCCAGGCCCAATCTGAGTAGTGCTCAGAAACACCAGCGGGGCTTGAAATGCCTGCCAGCATTGAGTACTGATTGCCTACATCAATCCCAGATCTGAGGTGTGACTGCCTTTCCTATCCACCAATGTGAGCAAGGACTCATCTCGGCATGGACATTGTCACAGCCTGGGGTGGACAAAGGGGCCTCTGGGATAGGGGGTGCACCGCATAAACCCACAGACCATGAGGCTAGGCAGAGAAAATCATTTGCTGGACTCCAAAACTGCAGATCCTAGAAAGAAACCACTCATTCAAAAATACAGAGAAAATAATTTTTTCTTCATTTTTGGACTAATTTTCTTTCTTTTCTTACTCCCCTTTTCTCTTTTTCCCTTCTAATTTTCCTATTTTTATTCTCTATTATTTCACTTTTTCCTATTATACTTTATTTTTCCTGTTATCTTTATGTATTCTACAAATATTCTACTACTTAGAAGGATCCTTTGTCTCCCTTTTCTCTCATCTCCCAATGTTTAACTTTCCAAATTTTTCTTCTTGCATTCTCTCCTCCCTATTCTTTAATAGTATAACCATTAACCTTTACTAATTTTTAGGTAGTTAACACTGGTGCTACTGCCAAATTCTTTTCTATCATTAGTGGATGTAAAGTTATCCTATTAACTAGATATTTGCTGTATGTTAATATTTGGTTTGTCCTAAGTGTTTATACTGTAATGATAGATTTCTTTTCCAAGGTGACAGGTGGTACATTATAGGTTCTTATGGTATGTCAATATCAGTTTGTCTGGCATGATATTACTCTCGCTGATTTACTTGATACTGCCAGGGTCTCAAAAGTTGTTGCTATAATAGGTTATCTCTATGCTAATACCTGTGTGACATTAACAATACTGTAGCCTATTCCCAGAAAACTGGATGTGGGACTAGTGCATCCACCCCTCCCATAGTAACAGAGGTGGTCAGATCTTGGAATAGAGGCAATAAACTATAGTTAGTCACACCCTTAGTGCATCACTGAAAAGCAGACTAACTAAAGAGATCTCTATACTAGCAACAAAATCTTTCCACTCGAAAAATAAACCCCAGTCTTTCCACTATAAACAACTGCAGACCTAAGCATAAAATATACCAAAGAAACAAACAAAAACCAAAAAAATATGAGAAGACAAGGCAATAAAATGCCTCCCTAAACTATCAGTTCTCCCAAAGTTGATTCATGGGACATTGAGGAAAAGGAAAGCAAAAACCACACAGCTGAATTATTTCAAAGGATTATGGGGACATATATATGTGTGTGTATATATATATATATATATATATATTTATTTATTTATTTATTTATTTATTTATTTATTTATTTAGCAGTGGCCAAGTTTATTTGAAAAAGTAAGTCAGGGATGAGGGAAAAAATGGCTCTGCAGAGCAAGCTTGGGCCGAGTAAAAGGAGAAAAAGCAATAAAAGGACACCCTGGAGAAAGCAGAGTGGGCTACCATGAAGA